ATCTTGTTCTCATCTTGCTAACCATCTTCACCTATCCAGCCAATATATTTATGTATTTATTTATTAATTCATTCATTCTATTCAGTTATATGTGACGGCAGAATGCTCTTCAATTCTTGGTACACAAATGGAACACGATTTTCTACTTCTCGGTTGTACAGGAAGTAGAGTCACACCATTCATGCAATCATACATGTACCTAGGGTAATGATGTCTGTCGATTTCCATCATCTTTCCTATCCCCATGCACTCCATGGACTCCATGTACCCAAAGGACTTAAAAACAGCATACTACAAGGACACAGCCACATCAACGTTTATAGCAGCACAATTCACAATAGCCAAACTGTAGAACCAACCTAGATGCCCTTCAATAGATGAATGGATAAAGAAAATGGTATATATACAGCCATCACATTTCATATTCTCCTTGCACAGTGAACTCTAGTACAAGCTGCTCTCTCACAGAGAAACCCACCTCCCCAACCTAAGTTGGCTGCCCCTACGTCTGTGTATTATTTTCTGTTAAACAAAAACTGGACCCTATCCTTACCTTATTGACTCTTATCTTCTTGCTATCTGTCTGTTCCACATACATTTAGTCTTATTCCTGGTCTTTTTTTTTAAAAAAAAAAAGTCTATTTCATTAAAATCTTTTTACGAAAGAATTAAATTGTGTGTAAATATTTTCAGTTTGGGGGATCAACCAATTGTATAAAACTTATCACCGTAATCACATTATTGTAGAAAAATCCTGGGTTTTATTATTGATTTGATTATTTACTTATTTTCCCTTTTCAAGTGTTTGACTAATATGCTTTTTTGTTCTTTAGAACATCTGGATTAAATGCTTGAAGGCTTATCAGTGCCAATACCATTTTCTGAAAATCAACAGGCATTATAGTTTCTTGTGAAGAATGTGACCAAGGCGAGACTTCACACTACATGTTTATGAGCATACTAATTCCCAAAGCTCTGTGTGATTTGAACACCATTTGTTGTCATTTGTCTTTCATTCTTGTCCCCAGAGAGAAAGTTCATTTGCTTTTCAAGTTACTTCTCTGTATTCCAGATGAAAGCCGATGAAGGAAAATGAAGTCAATGTAATACAATTAATGATTTAAGTATAGTGGTTTTTGCTAAATTTTTTTTGAAAGTTTTTAATGGCTTTTTTTTTCAATTCCTTATCTCTATAAGCAAAAAACACCTGAGCCCTCTGTAATGTTAATAGTCAAGTGTTTCATTTACATCAAGCCAAGTTCACTTTTTTTCCCAAAGCTAGTACAAATGAGTGTTTTAAAATGTTTTTTAAATCAAATTCATTTCAATGGCATAACAACCCTTGCTGCTCTTAATATCAGCGACTTTGAGAGTGTTACTAAAAATAGTGGAAGGGAAACCGAGGAAGGGTCAGAAATTACACACAACAGAACATTAAAATTTTATGAAAAGTGTAAAGTTTAGTTTTTGATATTTATAAAAATTAATTGCTTTTCAAGTTACTTCTCTGAATTCTCTGTATTAAAATATTATCTAATAAGCAAGCAATAAAAAAAAATCAGTACACTAGGTTATTGTAGCTTACAGGTTTTTTATAGCTGACTCTTTAAATTGTTATTTGTTCTTTTTAGTTATACATGACAGTAGAATGTATTTTGACATATACGTCCATGGAGCATAACTTTCCATTCTTGTGGTTGTACACGGTGTGGAATTACACTGATCATGTATTCAGATATGAACATGGGAAGGTTATTCCTGATTCATCCTACTGTCTTTCCCTTTCCCATCCCCTCTTCCTTCCTCCTATTATCCCCTGTCCAATCCAGTGAACCTCCACTCCCCACCATCACCAACCATTTTGAGCCAGCATGCACATATCAGAGAAGTCTTTTTTTTTTTGATTAGCTTATTTCACTTAGCATGATAATCTCTAGTTCTATCCATTCACTGCCAAATCCCATAATTTCTTCTCTAAGGCTAAATAATATTCCATCGAGTATATGTACCACATTTTCTTTACCCATTCATCTGTTGAAGGGCACTTGGGTTGGTTCCATAGCTTAGCTATTGTGAATTGAACCGCTATCAACGCTGATGTGTCCGAGTCACTATAGTATTCTGATTTTAAGTCCTTTGGGTGTAAGTCAAGGAGTGAGATAACTGGATCAAATGGTAGTTCCATTCCAAGTTTTCTAAGGAATCTCCATACTGCTTTTCAGAATAGTCGCACCAATTTGCAGTCCTCCAGCAATGTATGAGTGTACCTTTCCCCCACTTCTTCACCAGCATTTATTGTTACTTGTATTATCTGATTCTTTCTTAATGAATTTTTGTCACTGATTTTTAAAAAGAATAACTTACTAGAAATTTTGAAAGTAAAAACACGTCTATGGTAGCCCCAAATGCTAATAACATGGCCCAATATTGATTGAAGAGGAAAATCAAATATTTGATTTATTGTCCATATTGTCGTTCTAATTAAGCTTCCTCTTCAATCTCATGAAGAGGAGGAGGAGGAGAAGAGGAGGAGGAGGAGGAGAAAAAGGAGGAGGAGGAAAAAGAAGAGGAAGAGGAAGGAGAAGGAGAAAGCAAAGGAAACCCAACTCATTAGACACAGCTAATGCAGAGGAAACTTCCAGAGATATGGGCACAAGCTTTCATTCCAGGGGAGAAGAAAGAAAAATTATGGTTTTGAACAGAGATGAAATTACACAGCCCTCTAGATTGGCTGTATCAGATTCAATCCCAGAGGTGTTGGGAGAGCTCCGAGAAGGGAGTCCATGGTGAGTCAGAAATCAAGATCCTTCTCCCTGAGACAAACAGAGCACTGCAAATCCTGCAGCAGAAGACAGGAAATCAGGGAGTGCCAGTGCCAGGTCTCACTGGGAATGTAGGTATTTTCATTCTGGCCAGATTTTCAAGAATAGTCTCATAGAGGGGGAAAAAAATGAATGAATACAGTAAATCCCTCTCTGAGATTCTACCGACTAGAAATTTCCACTACTTGGCTCTTCTCAATCTCTATAAGGCAATGAAAACATTAGGTTTTTAAAGTATAGTTGAACCATCAAGTAGAATGCATTTTGAGATATACATACATGGAGCATAACTTTCCGAGTCTCAATTATATTTGACATTAGCTTTGATGTTAAGGTGTACTTTTAAAAGAAGCTCCCTCAAATGGCATTTCTTTATTCAACGGTTGTTTAAAGTATACCGATTCATTCCCAGGTGGAGCAGAGACGAATGAGAGCTACAGAGCTCTTGCCACCGGGAACTCACAGCAGAATACAGGAACATAAACAGACACTTCAGAAAATGCAGTTTTAATTTCCTTGATCCATGTACAAGATAAAAAAAATTCATAGAAATTTCTGGGTTTTGTTTTATTTTTTAAGAATCTGGACGTGCAAAGTGGCAAGGAATTTGCTGTATCAAGGAAGAAAAAAGTGAATAAAAAATGAGTGGCAAGTAATTGACAAGAGAATGACATGGCAGAAGAGAAAGGAAACGGAGCATTGATGGAGAAAACATTTTCTGAAGAAATTCAGAAAAAGAAGAAAAAAGTCAAGGGATCATTGCATAAATCAACATACAGATTTATTAACTGTAACTCAATTCACGATATGATTTATAAATAGACACATGCACAAAACAGAGTCACCACTGAATACATACTGGGAATACCAAATTTTGGGTTTCACACTTCATTCCCCAACTAAGTTCCTACTGTGCACAGTTCCTCATCAAGTCATCCACCTCACAGTGAAACCAATCAAAGTTTTATACCTTCAACTCTGATATGAACTCTGTCAATTTGTACATTCTGGTATATTCACTCAATAATTTATCACAAAGTGTGAGTCCAATTCTACTTATCAGGCATTTTAACTCAGGATTTAATGATGAGCTGGGTCAGACACAATCTTTCAATGTGAAACCCCAACTGCTCTTTGATAGAGGTAGTGAGATACGGCCAAGCCTGAAGGGTAAGGCAGGGTTCTCTGAGGAATGATATTCAAGACAAGATTACACGTGTAAGATTTTTAAACTCAGTTTAGGGGATCAAGGACAGGAACTTCCTATGAAAGTAGACAGCATGAGCCAAACTCTCAGGAAAAGACGGGTGGGGATGTAGACATTGGGAGATTCTATGCAAGTCCCTGGAGGAGGATGGCAGAGCCCAGTGGACAGAGTGGCACTAGATGGGCTGAGAGGGAGGCATGTCTCAGGTCACTCAGAACCATGGGAAGAAATTTGATGAGGTACAGGAAAGGGTTGACAAGTGGATGACAGAAGTAGGCGAAATGATCAGAGATGCCTATTGAGATTCTTTAGTTTACAGCTTAGAGAAAGTTCTGGAAAAACAACAACAAGAGGAAATGCAAGAACATCACTTAGATGCTTTTCTCTGTTAAGACTAATGACAGTTACTGGGATTAGGATGGTGCCAACAGAAATGAAGAGAAGTTAATAGACTTAAGACATTCAGAAAGTTAAAAAAAAAGACAATGATGATTTGGATGGGAGAGGTAAGTGAGGGATATCTAAATTCTATTTTTAGAATAGTATTGGAACAATGTTATTCTTATTCTCTAACAACCAAATTACATTAACAGCCAAAAATCTCAATGGTCAACTGACAGCATAGAATATCAAAATTTCCTTAGTTAAGCCATTTATATTTTGGGGGGATTATTAACTGTTCCTTATCTCATCTAGAGCAGGGGTCAGCTAGTATTTTCTATAAGGGGGCCAAACAGCTACTCAACTCTGTCTTAGATAATACATAAGTGAAGGTGATATTTTGATACCATTCTCTTTATTCCAAAATCTTATTGTTCAATTCATTCTGGACATTGGCAGAAAAATGAAGTGGTATTTCATCCCTTAAAAACCAACAATTTACTTCTTTCAGATTTAAAAAAATATGGAAAGTCAGCCAAACATGCATGGTTTTCCATTCCCCCAAGAAGAAATTGAAGGCAAGCACTCACCTGAACATAGAGTTCTCTGAGCTCATATTGAAATTTCTTGGGATCTGTGGTAATTGTCACTGGGCCAATTTCTGTAAAAATAAAATGAAAGATCAATAAATATTAATTGACAGCATTAATTAAGACTTTACTGTGTTTGCCAATATCTTTTCACTGTGTACCACATATTACTAATTAACAGCGCATAGTTAGCAAAATATCAAAGACTCTTTCTCAATTTATACCTACCAAAGAATAACTTATCATTCACTCTATGGTATGCATACCTAACAGAGTGGACTTTTTAACCTGTGGAGTCAAAACTGTCACAGGGCAAAGAACCACAGGCTCCCAGTGGGGGTTCCTTCTTACTATCCCCAGTCATTATTTACTGAGCACATACTTTGTCATTAGAATCTAAATGAAACACTTATTCACCCTCTAATTTAGTTTTCTCAACTATAAATTGTAGGTTTGTCTACAGTTTTTTTGTAAGTCTGAATTAGTTCATAAAAAACATTTTAATGCTACCCAAAGGGAAAAAAGTGAACACTCACTGCCTATCCCATAGTGTTCTTCAGAATTTGAAGAGACATTAAATGCATGAGGACATTAAAAGTACGAGAGATGGTCCTATAACTCCTTTTCCAAATGCCAGGATGGCTGGGTGTCACTATCACCATTCTAAACTGGTTTAGATCATGATTGCCTTTAGGGTTGGGCCACTTTCATGACTGTCCTGATATACTATATACACCACTGCTTTAGAGAACAGATCAGGCTCCAGCCTTCCTTGGAGAGTCAGGACTTAAATCATTAGTCAGTTCCAGAGAAAGAACCAGATTCCATTTGGGTTAAGATAGAGATAGATAAATAGACATATATTAATATACACATATATTATTCATATTATTTGGGGGCTGAATACAGCATATCTGGAGTAAAGATTTTAATCCCCCAAACTTATTTTTTTATTAAAAAAAATAAGGCTTTTAAAATATATAATTTGGAAGTGGCCTTTTATGAGTATCAATTATTTTCCCCAGAAAGCATCCATATACTGAAGTGATGGTATTAAAATTCATCTGGGTATCATGTGTACCGACATATTTAAATTCCCAGGATAGATGAGAAGTTTTCTATTTTATGTCATGGAGATAGAGCTGGCATCCAAAATTATAATGTGCAACTACAACACCAACATACACAAGATACTTCACATTTAATTTTTACAAACTCTTTCTAGCTTCAAAGACATACTGCTAGAAAAGGATTTTATAACTTCAAAGAACAATAATTAATTAGCCAGGCCTTCTATAACATGCTACATATGGTACAAAAACAGACCGTAGGATTTTAAAAATAAATGAGGTAAACTGGAAAGAAGGCACAATTTGTCTGCCATTACTCATGTGATTTTTCTTAGAAATTACATGATAAAAATGCCTCAGTCCTTCACCAGAGATTAGACACCTTGCAGTTTGCAAAAAGAATGGAGAGGTGATTGGATAAACCATGTGCAAATGCAAACATCTGCATTCCATACCAAGCAGAACCGTCATTAGCCATGGCCTGAGTGTATGGAAAATGAGAGAAGCCTACTCCCTCAAGACTAAACAAAGGCATACTTTGCAAAGGAATGCGAAACAGTGATGAACACGCCAGACAGTTACACCCTGACATATAAGTTGTCAGCAGCACTGTCAAGCCAATCTTCTATGTTCCTCCATGGCTTAATACTGAAATAATCCTAGAATTTAAGACTCAAGAAGTAGGAAGGAATACAAAGAATGCCAGGAAACAAAAAACAATTGTRTAAGAATAGAGTTTAGACATGCAACAATAATCCCTGTAATGATAAACAAAATGGCTCTGGATACACACTTTTTCTTCAAGAGTGGGATGGATCAAAGGATGCTAATAAAATAAGAGGACTGAATAGTCTTCATTTTACTCAACCAGAGACTTTCCACTAGACACTTCTTTTCAGCACAGATAGGAAATCTGTCAAAGCTCATTTCTAAACTTTTTTTTTTTTTTTTTTGCAAACCACATGGAACAGCGGAGATAGATCTCTTATCAGTTAAGATAAATACTCAGGTGAGGTAACAGCCTGCCAAAGCTGCTAACACTCTAGTTGTAAGCATTCTTTCCACCTTTTTTTAAAAAAAAATGATAGGACTATCGGGCAAAAATCAGTCGCCCTCCTTATCAGGTCTTGCTTCCATTCCAGTCTTTCTCTTCATTCAATGAGCCCTGTGCCAATTATGTCATTAGCAATTTCCTCTTCCCTTCCTTTCTGCTCACGTTAGTTTCATCCATTGCCAAGCCTTTGATGACATTCAGCAGGTACAACTTTGTCCTTACTTCTTGCCTGAACACAGGCCTCTATGGCTTGTAAAACTAAAAGAAAACTCTCAAAGGCAATCCAAGCTCCCTCTTTATCCAAACTCCAAAATTGGTTAACACCCCTTACTATGAAGCTACTGCACCCCCTCACCATACCCATTGCTATCTCTATTGTATTTCATCTTCTCATGCACCGCTCAGTCTAAAAAGCCCGATTTAAATCCTACCTCTTTTAGGGTCTTGCCGTTTCTCTACCTCACTTTAATGTAAAATTCATTGATAACAACGGTGCCCATAATAAAAGAATGGGAAGAATAAACATGCATGATAATAATGCTCTCTGCACACATTATTCAGCATATTTTGTACAGTGGTTTACTAAGAAAATCCACCTAACCAAAAAATAAACAAAACAAAACATCAATTTCCAAATAGAATCAGAGCTAGAAGAGGCATTAAAAAATCATTTGGTTTAATCCCCATATTCTACAGACAAGAAAATCTGAGGTCCAGAGAAAATGAAATTGAAAAACTTTGGTGGTAAAGATAACACTGAGCAACCTAGGCATCTTACAAATATTCCCACTTTTCCAAGATCTCCATTCTATGAATGAATATATCACTAACTTCACCTCCTTTCCTTTGGACCATAGGCAGGTTGGGCCATATGCAGAGTTCCTAATTTAAGGCAAACAATGCTCATAGTTCTCTATTATTGTATGCTTAGATATTTTCTTTAATAGACTAAAGAAAATTATCCCTCTTGCCTAATGCTTACTATAATCAAACATGCAATGAAAACTTTTGGAAAATTCCTTCTCAAATGTATTCAGTCAACATACATGGAACACCTATTAGATGTGGTTGCCACCGKTATCCTAAAGATAACAAACAGACCCTGCCCTCAAAGTCTCCACAGTCTGAAGRAGAAAATAAAAATGCATATATGTAATGACACTACCACGTAATGAGGGCAGAAACAGAGCATGGAAAAGGTTGTGTGGGACCACTAATGAATACTTTTCTTTTCCAGAAATAAAGGGATATTTCAAAAAAGAAGTAAAGTTCAGGGTTTCAAATTAGAGAACCAAACTCTTTATTCTTGCTACTTTCTTAAAAAAAAAACACTATACCTCAACTAAGTTCTGTAACAAGTTACAACCTATAGCTATCTATGTATACAGGTATTTTATTWATTTTTAATCAGTGCTTTATAGATATACATAAAGGTAGAATTTCTGTGGTATATTTATACATGCACACAATGTAATTTTGTCAAATTCATTTCACATTTCTTCCCCTGTATCATTCTACGCTTCCCCCTCAAACTCCTTCTTCCACTTCATTGATTTTTTTCCTCTCTTCTTATGAYCATGTCCACCCCCGCCCTTTTCCCTTACCTTGCTCTAGCTTCTGCGTATCAGAGAAAACATTCAACCCCTTCCGAGTCTGGCTTATTTCATCTAGCATAATCTCCAGTTTCACTCATTTACCAGCAAATGCCAAAAGTTCATTCTTCTTTGTGCCCGAGTGAAACTCCATTGTGTGTGTGTGTGTGTGTGTGTGTGCGCGCGCGCGCATGTGTATATATGTATACATCATAATGTGGGGTATATGTGTGTGTAAATATATATATACATTATATATAGCACATTTTCCCAATCTGTTCATCTATTGACAGGCACCTGGGCTGGTTCTACAACTGGACTATTGTGAATTGTGCTGCTATAAACATTGATGTAGCAATATAAAGATTCCTCAAAAATTAGGAATGGAACCACCATAGGACCCAGCTATCCCACTCCTTGATATGTAGTTTTAAAAGTCACCAGTGTACTCTGTAACATACAATGGATCCCTTGAATTTTACAACAGCCTCACGAAGTAGACGGATAGCAGCAGCTTAGGTGATGGCAGCTGTCCAGCTTAAGGCTACACACCATGTGCCTGCAACAGGACACAGCATCCACCACATGATTCTACCATCGCCCCACTGCACTGATGTCCACTGTCAGTGCTTTCAGGGGACAAACTCAGTGTACATCTAGTGGGCCCAAGAAGAGGAGGAAGGGGGAGAGGGAAAAGAGTCAAGATTATACCCAGGCCTTCATATCCTCAATTTCTTACACTGTCACCACATCTTGGAGCCTCCAGGATAGACCTGAAGGCCATGCTACCAGATCAGGGAGGATACCAATTAATCCAATAAAAACTTCTCAGTTTTCTAAGTGACCAGAGTGTCTTCTCTTCTACTTTAAGGTAGAAAAGTTATTGGTTTAGCAGTAAGTTATTGATATAGGTCAATAATATTTCAACTTTCCACATAAAACTTATTTTTAAAAACAACAAAAAAATGCCAAGGTAACATACATTATTAAAAACATAAGAAATATGTCACACTTCAGATGACTTTTGGTTTTAAAAAAATAACMGTGTCTGAAAATAAAAAGGTCTTTCCCCTTTTCAATAATTTTGTTATTCCCCGTTTCCTAGGGATTTATCAGATGGGTTGGATTTATTTCCAGCACCTCAGCCATTGTTCTCTTAATCTGAGTTGCTGGATTGTACTTGAGAAAATAATGGAAAGAAATTCACAATGTAATATTTCCTTTCACTGCTTCATTTGGCAAGATCAATATCCAACTCCTTACTTCCTTTTCCTTTCCACGAACAGATTTCTGCTCCTTATAGCTTTTCCACTTTACTAAAAGTGATTTCTTGATAAAGAATTTTATTCCACTAT